GATAAGCACAGGCTTCACATCTCATCAAAGAACTGATTCAGAACAACAACAACAACAACAAAAAACCTGGTTAAAGTGCAGCAAATCAATGACCTTGGGGTGTCCAGTCCAAAATGAGACATCTATAATACAACCCCTCCATCTAAGGCTCAGGAAACGTTGAGGAAGTCAGAGTGGAAAAATAGTCAGAGCTGGTCCAGGGCAACCGCTGTGAAACGGCATGAACTCTCAACAATATGGCTGTGTGTCCAAGATGTACAAAGACCACACCAGTCAACAGGCCAACATGGATGATAGGGGAAAGCTTCACGAGGCTCTACCCCTAGTTGAAACCCACTTCTAGGTTGATATCTCATCAGTTATTCCCTTTGTAAAGAGGAGCCAGGTAGTCCCATGCTGTGTCAATGCCAGAAGCCTTGCGGCTGCTGCTCGGAGCATAGTAGACCTGGGCTCCTCACCCTCTCAGCTGCCTTCAAGCTAAGCATTGCTGATTTTCAAGACAAAGTGTCTGCTGGTGATGAAGCGTAGGCTGACAGCTTGATTCACGTCTGTTCTGCTGTGCTGTGAAGTTCATTTCCTCTAAACAATTCATAGATGTGTTGGAAGTCAGACCCTCATAATTACTGTTCAACAGATTTGAGTTCTCTGTGCAAATGGGTGTGGAGTCAAATAATGGATGGATGGGTAGGTGGGTGGGTGGATGAATGGATGGATGGATGGGTGGATAGATGGATGGATGGATGGATGGGTGGATGGATGGATGGGTGGGTGGGTAGGTGGATAGATGGATGGATGGATGGATGGATGGATGGATGGATGGGTGGATAGATGGGTGGGTGGGTAGGTGGATAGATGGATGGATGGATGGATGGGTGGATGGATGGGTGGGTGGGTAGGTGGATTGATGGATGGGTAGATGGATGGGTTGGTGGGTAGGTGGGTAGGTGGGTAGGTGGGTAGGTGGGTGGTTGGTTGGTTGGTTTATGGGGTGCTGAGGATTGAACCTAGGGCCTCATGAATGCTTGGCAAGGGTTCTACACCAACCCCTCTTTTTCCCTTTTATTTAGAAATGAGGTCATGCTCAGTTACCCAAGCAGGCCTTGAACTCAAGATTCTCTCAAGTAGTTGAGTTACAGGCAGGCTTGCACCAACAGGACTGGTTGAACTGACATTTTTAAAGTATTCGTATTTGCAGTGGATGTCTTATTTATTAAGAATGTCTGGCTTCTCAGACAGGAAGGATTATCTCTCATAGTTATCTTGATAATAAGATGACAGATTATGAAAATACAGAGAGACTTGAATGATCATGGACCAAATGATTGCTGGCAAGTGGGGATGGTCATTGCCATGTCTAGAGCAAGTAGGCCTGAGATTCTCTCTTCCGTCTCTTGTATTCTGTTGGTGATACTTGTGTCTGTAGTTCCTGTTCTCTTCCCTAGGTTTTTCCATCTCCAGGATTTCTTCACTTTGTGTTTTCTGTATTGCTTCTATCTCCATTTTGAGGTCTTGAAAAGTTTTAATCATTTCCTTCACCTGTTTGATTGCATTTTCCCGTATTTCTTGAAGGGATTTATCCATTTCCTCTTTAAAGGCCTCTATCATCTCCACAAGATGGGATTTAAGATCATTCTCTAGTGCTTCTGCTGTGATAGGCTATCTAGAGCTTTCTGGAGTAGGATAGCTGGGCTCTGGAGATGCCATATAGCCTTGGCTCTAGTTGACTGCATTCTTCCCAGGGCCTTTAGCCATCTAGTTGTGCCTGGTACCTACAGGCCTCCAGGAATACAGGCAGAGCTGTGGGCCAGGAAATGGGACGAACAGGGGATAGGACACAGCTCATTGCTCCTGGACCTGCATGGTATGGGGCCAGGTCTCCTCTTTTACTTCTTACTCTCCCAGAAGGCATCAGGAAGATGGTGAGGTCTGGGCTGTACACTTGGATGAGGTTTGACCTCTCAATCAACTTTCTGGATGAAAGAAGTTCCTGGATGATTCTTAGACTGCAGCATGTAACAGGGCGTAGTGTGGGTTTATAGACCGGTATGTAAATTCCCACTGTACTTCTCAACTGCTAATTGTCTTGAAGGGAAATTTAATGTGCGTTTTGGCCAAGGCCCCATCTTTGGATGCTGTGAGGGCTACGTGAGTGAGCTGGGAAGAAGGACCCTCAGTTGAGAGATCACCTCCTTCAGGCTGAGTTCTGGGTCTGTCTGTGCAGCATTTTCTTGATCTCGAACCACGAAGGACGGAAGGATGGACTGTCCTGCTGTGGCTAGTGCCTCCCCAGACAGGCGGTCCTAACTTGTATAAGAAAGGTAGCTGAACAGGGGCCGGTTGGAAGCAAGCCAGTAAGCTTCTCCTTGGTTCTTGTCTCTGCTCCAGCTTGAGTTCCTGCCTCAACTTCCCTCAGTGGTCGACTGTGATTGGGGGATGTAGACCAAAATAAACCCTTTCCTCCCTAAGTTGTTTTTGGTCATATTTATTACAGCAACAGAACACAAACTAGGATAATAAGCTAATCCAATTTGAGGGCTTAGTTCATTGCCTGCCTATCAGACACGCTCGATTGAGTGCCAGCCATTGTTCTTGTAATTATGAAGCCTTGTTACCCACTTTGAGGACCTTCAAACCCAACAAGTATAATGCACGTGCTTACCATCCTAGATCTGTTGTAAGCACTCCTATGCATATTATTAACTGATGGCAGCCAGCAAGACATAAAGGAGGTGGAAGTATATTCAAGTTAGAAAACAGCTGGATGGAACTCAGTCCCAGAAGCCCTTGAGCTGAGAGGTCTATGCCCTTTTCTCCCTTGTACAGCTGATTTGCTCTCTGTGTGACAATGGCATTGTTCAGCCCCCCTGGGGAGTGTAGACATTAAGTGTTCATGAGAAGTCATCCGCAGAAGCAGAAAGAGTTAAAATTCTACCCCAAGGCCTGTCGCCTGCATCACATCGCATTGAGGATTTCAACCCACCAATGAGGTCAGCCTGAGATCCTCCATCTCTGAAAGCCACTGAGGCAGAAATTCCAAGTCTCAGCAGCATTGGCATCTGCTGGTGGAAATGCTGGTCACTGGAGTGGGGTTGATAGAGATCTAATTGTCTTAGTTAGGGTTTTACTGCTGTGAACAGACACCATGACCAGGGTAATTCTTATAAGGACAACATTTAATTGGGGCTGGCTTACAGGTTCAGGGGTTCAGTTCAGTATCATCAAGGCACACATCTCCTGGGCAGAGCATATAGAAACCATCACACTAGTCTCTGGGTTTCCTCATATCACAAGTGAACAGGACTGAAAACGGAGACAAGGAAGGGGCCACATGGTTCTCATGAATAATCAGTGCTAGTCCTACATGGATGCCTTAGTTTTGAAGGCACTGAGAGCTTTCTCTGCTACTTGCCTCCCAGAGGCCCTTTTCTGCTTAAGAGCTAGGAGCAAGCATTGTCCCCTGGGCTCAGACCAGCCTCTCTCTTCTAGGAGCCTTTTTCTCTGATGAGCTCCAGGCACCAGAGAGTATCCCATGGGAAGTAGGCTCTACCAGGCGATTGCACTGGGATGGGAATCAGGGCCTTGTTGTTGCCAAGACTGACTAAAGAGTATACCTTGATTGTTCACAGCTGCTACCCCTGCCACAGGGCAGAGCCGCCCCGAGGTATTCAGCAGTAATGTATTGCAATGTTGTGCATTCAGGACCCTTGAGAAATTAGCAACAACCTAATGAAAGTGGTATGTGGTTTCCAAGGCCTGGGGTAGAGTTGGGTGGTGGTGGGGATTATGAGTGTCTATGTGATCGCTGGAATCTCATTGGTAGGGTAGACACTTCTGTAGTTCCTGCTTGGAATGTCAATCTGCTTAACCAAATGTTTGTGTGGGGATGGTGTGGGGGCATGCCTCCCCTGGCTGGGTAAGAAGTTATGAAAGATTTACTGCCTAATAGGCTTTCAGCCTGGAAGCCGGGAGATGGCACAGTCGCTTTTGTTTTGCAGAGAATTCCCTGGGGCCTCCTCTGTGCCCATGATGAGCACACACACAGCAGCATGCAGAGTGCTGATTAGCCTGGGGGCTGCTGCTCAGCTTATTCTAGAAAATGCTGCTGTATGTGACCCCGTGCCTTTGGGAATCCTTTCTGGCATTATGTGTTCGAACCAACCTTCCCTCTCTCTTGTTATTCAGACCCACAAACCCAGTGAACGGATTGACTGTCTCGTGGTTGCCCAAACACATCGTCCCACGTTTGCTCACACCACTTTTCCGGCCTGGCTTGTCTTTTCCATCTTTGCTTTGCAGAAATCCTGCCCATCCTTCAAGATTCAATTCAAATATCAATGCTTCACTAATCCTTGCCCTAGAAATTGATCTCTATTTTTTTCTCCCAAGCTCCATTATCATTTTCTATGCCCATCATGGACCTTATCTAATTCTGCCTTGCACAATAAATATTTATGTGCAGGCTTTTTCCTCTCCCACTTACATCAGAACTTTGTGTTGTACAAATTTCTTGCCCATCCTGAAGTTAAAAAACAGACAAACAAACAAACCTTAAAATAGACTATTCATCCATGAGGTCTATTTTTTATTGAACAGGAGCAAATAATGTTTTCAGCAAGGATTTTGGGTGTACATAATAGAAAATAATTTAAATTAAATATGGAAGAACTCACACAAACCAACATCAGACAGAAACCAATATCAGACCAAATAACTCTTGGATCATGTATAACTCTGAAGGGTTTTTTAAAAGTGATTCCTGCTTGAAATCATGGTGCTGAAGTGCCCAGTACACAAGGGAGTTGCTATCTTGATGCTTGAGTGGCCTGGATGACAGACGCTGAGCTCTGCCCGGCTTGGGTTTTCTCTCTGTCCGCACCAGCCTCGGGAAATGGTACAAACATACACAGCTGGTTTATTTCTTACTTGTTTATCGGAGTGGTGATAGAAATTAAATTTCCCTGGAGGTGCTAACCCTGCTCTCCTTGTTATTTTTATCTCAGCCCTAGACCCATCCAAGGACCCTTGCTTGAAGGTGAAATGCAGCCCACACAAAGTATGTGTGACCCAGGACTACCAGACAGCCCTGTGTGTCAGCCGCAAGCACCTGTTGCCCAGGTAAGGTGGGGAAGGGGGTGGCTAGAAGTTGGGGTGTTCAGCGGCTGGTGGAACTGAAGCATCAGGTCTCTGACTGGGCTCATGTTAGACAAAAGAGAGAGCAACGTGTTTGCCACCATTTTTAAATGGTGTTCAGGTAATAGTGTGGACTTTGGATTGCAAGCCCAGGTTTATGAAAGACAGCAATCTTTCTGAAATTATTATTGTTGTTGCTCTGTTGTTGTTGTTAAATATATGTTGGTGTGTTTTGCCTGCATATGTCTGTGTATCACGTATGTGCCTGGTGTCCACAAAGGTCAGAAGGCATTGTATCCCCTGTCATTGAGAATCGAACCCAGGTACTTTGGAAGAATAGCTGGTGCTCCTAACTGATGAGCTATCTCTCCAGCTCTAAGAACAGCAACCTTAAGTTTAAAAGAAAAATCTTAATTTTTACTCGAGTCTTCATCTTAACAGAAAAGTCCCTTTTCATCATCACTTCCTGTTCCCCAAAGGACCCTGTCTTACAGGAAGCTTACACCCAAGAAGCACGAGGAGGCCCTTCACTATTCCTGCAGCAGATAACACATGAGGAGGCAGAAACTGGAGCTTCCTATAGCTTTTGTTGGCTTTATTAGCTCCGGCGTGATACCCTAGGACCATGTTCCACGGTGCTTCCCCTCGAGAGTTCTTGATGGGGTCGGTCCCTTTGGTTCTTCCTCCTGGGGTGTGTTGTAATTGTCTTTTACCCTTCAGTGGCTTCTTCTGAATAGTGTCCTGTCCCTCCCTGGAAATCAGTGCTGGCATCAAAACAGAGCTTTTCACATCCAATGAGTGACCCTCTGCCCCTGTCTTCCCTGTGTCTGGTGCCTGTAATCACAGACTCTGCTGCAGGATCCTGTGTTGTGCATTGCTTTCAATGTTGTTTTATGTGCAATCAGCATTTGTTGTCTATAAGACCCAGATAAAAAGTGCTGAGATGTGCGTAGCTGTTTCCTAGACCAGCGCTCCTTCCTGGGAGTCGGATGAGTCCTGCCCTTAAGTGTGGTTGATATATCTTAGTAGTCACTCCATTGAAGAAAACCGATTTTCCCTCCCCAGCAGCTACCAATGACAAATAGCATCTTGACTAAGGGTGTGACTTGTGCCCACTTCCTCCTCTCTGTGCTGGGATTTTATCTTAATCATGTGCAGGTCATTACTGCGTGGGATGTAAAAATAATTTTGTTGGTATCAGCTGAAGCACCTTTTTAAGGAACCAACACTCTGAGAAAACCATTCCAGTCCGCCTACCCCCTATGATTTCTATGCTTTAAGAAAGGAGAACCCTATTAATAGCAATTAACAGAATGTCCTTGGAGATAATGTTCCAGGTTGTTCAACCATCCTGTATATGTGTGTGCACCTATGTGTATGTATGTGTAGCTGCCTGCGGCCACGGATCCACTGGGTTCACCTGAAAGGGGGGCTGGGAATGAAAGGAGGATGGAGGGTGAGAAGAGATGGAGCCAAGACAAGGTATTCTGATCAAGACTCAATGCTTTAATGTCCAGCTCTCAATTTAAAGGGGGAGCCCCACCCCTGCCACCGAACCCCTTCTTGCTTCAGCCAGCTTGGGTGAGGGGAGCCCATCCTTAAGTCACAGCTGGAGGTGTCTCAAGGCAAGCTCAGAGGGCAGTCTATTCTTCTAAGTTCCCGTAGCAGGCTGTACATGCAGCCAAGGTGGGTAACACCACCTGGGTCGTATTATTTTTGGTCTGTTGTGGTAAACAAGGTCTTTCAGGCCTGCTCAAGGCTGGGGGAAGGGCACATGTATATACACATGGATATATATGTTGGAGAGTCCTTCACATGCCCTTCCCTGGAATTTATAGAAATACCAAATGAGAGACTTTTGGTCTTAAATTCAAATGTGTTTGAGACCAAGGGAGCCAGCTCGGTAGTCACCACGTCCAGGCATACGTGGTGTTTCCACAGGCACCACACCCTGAGTCTCACTCCCAGCTTATGCGGAAAGCACAGTCTCCACCTCTGGTATCCATGACGTCATAATAGCTTTGTGCACGGATTTAGGGACGAGACCAATGGCGGTTCCGTTCCTTCTTAGATTCTCCATGCCTGTGCAAACTTGAGAAGGAAATTTGTGAGACTAACTTTGTATTTCTTCATCTGCTAAATGGATTTCCTGTGAGGACCCACCACATTTTGTGTGAAAGTTCAGTAAAGGCGATGGTGTATCGTGGTGGTTTAAGGTCAATGCCAGCCATTTGAGCAATTAGTAAAACGATTATCATAATGGTTATCATTGTCTGAATACATCTGGAAACTAAGCCAGAACCCTCCTTCCCAACTGCATAAGCTCTTGAGAATGAAGCAACTTCTCCTTGGGTTTTCTATCCCTTCCCCAGTCTGAGTGTGCTGCCTTCAAGCCCTTGAGCAGGGTCTCAAGGACTGTAGTGACATTTCTGCTGCCATGTTATGAATTGCAGCAGAGAAGTTAGAGAAAATGACTTTTTCTCCAATAATGGGGCCTGCTCATTACTAAAAAACAACTCTGGAAGGCGCTTTGGCTAAGATGGTGTGCCCTCTTGCTTAGCAGGACTGGGGAAGTGACCTGGCCCTAGGAGGTATGTATGTGGGCACTGTGGTTGTTGAACCAAATATCTCTCTCAGAAGTCAGGTTTCACAGCTCCCAAGAGTAGCCAATTGTGTAACTCCTCAGAGAGCCTTGGATGCCTTCCCAGATGAAACATCTGTCCTTCCCCATTAAACTTCAGGGGTCCCTTGGAGTTGGGACAGATTATTGACAACTCTATTTATTCCCCAATCAGGGAAGTGATTTTTTTATTCTACAAAACATCTGTAGACAAGGCTGTTAGCCAAGCTGGCCCCTTGCAGCTCAAGGGGAAAATCTTACCTCTAGACATAGAGAAGCTGCTGACAGACCAGGAGGCAGCTTGGAGGTCCCAGTTGATGAGGAGGCCCCAGGTGTAGACTTGCAAGTGGATGAGGGGGCAAGGTCAGAGAGATGCCTTGGGCCTGGATGGCCCATGGAGCTCAAGTGGATCTAAGCTCCTGGGAACACAGTATTTTAGAGCAGATCAAGCAGTTTTGATGGTGGTGGAAACGGAAGTGGCCAATCAGGCCTCCCTCCGGCTGGAGTCTCCCCAAACTACTGAGGTGATCTGTAGGGGACCCTTCTCCTCTATTCACAACCTTCTTGGAGAATTCTCCTGTAAATTCTTTTACTTCTTCCTGCTGTTGAGCAGCACTGTGGTATAGAAGGAGGTGGGTTCACACCATATGCTCACCCTGTGGTGTGCTACTGCTTTGGTCTCCATGGGATCACTGGAGTACCACAGAGAACTGCACTGTGTGTGCTCAGGATGGCTTCTCTCTGATGACTTAAAAATTCTCAATCTACTTTTGGTGTGATTCTTGATGCTTAGCCTAGAAAATATTAAAAATAAATAGGAAGCAGGTAATGGCCACGTGGTTGAAACAGAGCTACTAAAATATTTCAATATGTTCTGTCTAGTCTTTTAGTTTTTCTTTTCTTGTTTTTTTTGTTAAGATTTGTTTATTTTATGCATATTAGCTTTTTGCCTTTATGCAAATGTTTGCACCACTTGTGTGCCTAAAGTCTTCAGACGTCAGAAGAGAGGGCTTTGGGTCCACTGGAGCAGCTGCCATGTGGATGCTGGGAACCAAACAGGTCCTGTGGAAGAGCAGCCAGTCCTAGTGACTGCCGAGCCACCTCTTCAGCCCCTGGTTTGGCTTATTGACTTGTTTTTGTCAAGACTTTTTAACTGATAGTTCAAATACTATATACATTTTGTGTTGATTTTTATACATGAGTACTTTATGGTACTGTAAACCATGCTTAGAAGTTTTAATTACATAACATGCTGTGTTAAAATTTAACTTGAGAGGTGGGTTGCATTTGTAAACTCACACACACACTAAGTCTATAGAACTTTAAAAAAAAAAAAACAAAAAAACAATGTGAGATTTCTGTCCTTGGCTTTGGTTTAAGACTTCCTAAGTGTGACGCAGCAAATGAGATTGTCCCCAAATTGAAGACGTCTGATGTTCTGTACATATATCAAGTGTGTGTGTGTGTGTGTGTATGTGTGTGTGTGTATGTGTGTGTGTGTGTGTATGTGTGTGTGTGTGTATTAAAGTCCAGACACGCTGGGAGAAAATATTTCAGAGGCTTCACTTTACATATGTACATGTAAAAGTATCTTATGGATGTTTGCATCAGCTTCATTTAGAGTTACAGATATAAAAACTAAAGGTGAAGTTATCAACCCGTTGTGGCATTTCCATTACGATTGATGCTATTTAGTAATAAACACACATGTTATTAATGTATCAAATGATCACATGATAATCAAATAGCAAAATAGATCACACTCAAGCACATAGTGTGGCATCTGTTTCCTCCCTTTTGGGGCCAAGTCAATTATAAGGGACACAGACTACCTACCTGGGGTGGCAGAAAGCACACTAGTTGCCTGGGGACGAGGACAATCTGAGAGTGTAGGTGAATGGCTACACATTTTATAGCTCATGGCAATAAGGCGGATGGATCCCTTGGGAAGCAGAGAAGTCAGACTCCATCCTGGGATGTCAGAGACTCCATTTGTAACTGAGTTTACCAGCAATGGGAAGGGGTGTGTTACATCAACATCTCATTATTCATTCTTGTCAAGTTTTTTTCAAAAGTCCTCTTGGGTATTTTTAAGTAGAATATTGTCAAGAGGACAGAGCCAGCAGAGGGCTCTGGCAGCAGGGTGTCTCTGTTGGTGGGGATCATTGTTTCAGATCTGCTTCTCTGAGGAGGAGGGAGGAGGGAGGGAGAGGAGGAGGGAGGGGGAGGTGGAAGAAGGGGAAAGGGGAGGAGGGAGGGGGAGGGGAGGGGAGATGGGGGCTCCTTGCAGAGGGCTGAACATTGATTTTTACCTCTCTCCTACCATTGATTTTCATTTGGAGAATGGAAAATTGAAAGCATTTGT